TGGGAAATGTAACAAAGCTGTCATGGGACAGGGGCATAAATGAGGTGTACCACAGCTGTCAGACTGGGACAGAAGCAGAAATGTGATGAACCATCAAATTGTGTTGGCTTTCGCCTGCTAAAATTCAACCTTGGAAATCAATGGGAAAGGTGGGAAACAAATAGGATTAGAGAGGAATGACCCTTGCCCAATCAGTTGTAGTATAGTCAGTATTGTGCTTTTCAAAAGCTACACATTTAGAAGAAAGTTCTTCATTGATGTATCACTTGGTGAAGGACAGAGAGGGACATCTCCAACCTGTCTGATGTAGCAGGCCATTGCCAAAATACTGTCCCCTCATGGAATATGGAGGAAGATGTGCTTCTGTAAACATCATTCCCACACTTGATCATAACATTCTAACACCTGTAAATACCATTCCCACAGCTTTACCAGCGACAGACCAAGGGCCACATGTCCCACCTCTGCTGGGCCACCTCCCACTACCACTGTAACATCTGGAACATCACAATATTTGGGCATCTTTTCCATGGGCTACATTCCAGCCTCTTCCTCCAGGGAATGGTTTTTAAAATATCCATTCAACTGCTGTTCTGCAACAAGAGATGGTTCTACAAGAGCTTTGATCCATTTTTCTCATTTTGTTACTTTTTTGGTCAAAAATTCAAAGAAGTATTTTTTACACATGAAAATTATCTTACATTCTAAAAATAGTTGTTGTGGGTTTTTTGGGCTCTTTGGCTGTGTTCTGAAGGTTGTTCTTCCTGACGTTTCACCAGTCTGTGGCCAGCATCTTTAGGAACTCTGTCCATGCAACAGAGCATGGACAGAGTTCCTACTCCAGTCCCCTGAAGATGCTGGCCATAGAGACTGGCGAAACATCAGGAAGAACAACCTTCAGAACATAGCCAAAGAGCCCGAAAAACCCACAACAACCATTAGATCCCGGCCGTGAAAGCCTTCGCGAATACATTCTAAAAATACTTTGTGCAGAAAAATGAAAAATGTTTCAAACCTCTCTCACACACACATACACACACCTCCAATGCTACTATGGAAGAAAAGTGGTCTGATCTCTTTGTTCTCCTGCAGGACCAAAAACTCTTGCAATAGTTGAGCCTTATGTCTATATATTGAAACACTCTTGTTTAGTTGAAGATGGGATAAAATGGGTAACTATGATCTTTACTGATGTAAAGACAAGATGGTCTTTACTGGTGCTCCTGTCAGTGTTCTTTTTAAAAGTAACAAAAATGACTAATAGGTTGTTACTTTTTTTAAAGGTGATTTTTACTCTTTACTTTTAGGGATACTCAGTAAGATGTTGCTTTTGGAGAGTCATGGGGGGCATTTTTACGTTCAAGTGTATTTTCTTTTGAAAAACTAGTAAAACAAGGTGAATAGGAGTCAGTATGAGCAAATGTCAGCAAACTGCTTTTTTAATGCAAAAAGTGCCACATTACTTTTGAAAAGAAGGATCCAAAAGCTTTATAGAAGACATTAAAGGAGAATATGAGGAGCATTCTCGCTATAGAAAGAAAGCAAAGTATGTAAATCTATGCAAGGCAACAAAAAGATATAATACCCAATTGTATGAAACAACTACATGATTGGCCTGTTTTCTTACTCATACAAATAACTCACTTGAATCACCTTGCAATAGAGCAATCTACCCTGCCAGTAACTTAATTATAATTTCTGAGGCTTTCACTACGGAGCCATCATCTTCTCTGCAAGGAAAAAAAATGCCTTGTGTCTTTGCTCACTAAATTTCTAAAAAAATTTAATGTATTGAAAACAAGGATTGGCAATTTTTTTCTTTGTACATAGCTCATGTGTTGCCAATGTGATATAATTTACAATGACCTTGAGTGTTGTATCTTTTCCATACCGTATCTGTACAAAGTTCTCAAGAAGCAATGAAATCCTATAGGATCAACTAGCTGCATGTTTAAATCTGATCTGCAGAGAAAGTTGGCTCACGTAATTATGATATCCACACAGCAAACACATCCTCAAAAGCTTCCACCAAGTAAAGAACCTCTCATTCGTTCTTCCAAAATGCATACAGGCAGAATACAAGAAACATTTGGTTACACCAAACTTCAGGAACACTTAATACTCTTGCAAACGTAAAAAGCATTTAAAGTAAATGGATCTATTTAAAGCATAATCAAACCCATTCTAAATTCAGAAGTTATTGCACTCACATGGCTGCATACATTATTTTATGTTGTTCTGCATTCAGCAGAGGGTTTTTTTAAAAAAAAAATCTTTTTGAATTATGCCTTTGTGTCTTCCAAACAACAGGCCTATAACAGTATATGCAATGAAAACACGTGAACTAGAATGATAACCATAGTCTTGCAATTTATTTTCAAAACATACAGCATGTTAAAACACAGTTACCTTACACTGAAAAGTTCCCTTCGAAAATATTCAGGAGATATTAGGTATACAATCTTAAGATTTTTTTTTGAGAGAGAGTTGTATTTCCTTACTTAGGATATCATTACCATGTGCTGTATTTTGGAAAGAATCATGTACAGTGTTCACATCCACAAGTATCACTTTTTGTGTGGTAAACACATTTCACAGCCATTTATTCATAAATGCAGGTTGAACAGGTATACACTGCCATCTAGACAAGGTTTGGAGATCAGCACTTTAATTGAAAATGATTTACAGTTTTAATTGCAAAGATTCTATTCTTTTTTATATATAAATGAATTAAGATATATTTCTTTTTAAATTTTCTTTAGAACCAAACACCAGTAGGTAAAATGCAATGCTAAGAGCTAAGATAAGGCCATTTAGGAGAACAGACATTTTTTTCTTTAAAGATACAGTTATTGTACAAAGTGACTTTTAAAGTTCTAAATGCAATGCAAAATCAGGATGAAAATAACTAGATCTCAAACTCAGAAGCATTTCTTGTTACATTTCCAAGTACTGAAAAACATAGGTGAGCAAGTATGGCCCTCCACAGAGTCCAGCTCCCATAACTGTCTTAATTGCCTGTAGACGTTGCAGTCCAACGATATCTCAAGGATTACATTTTGCCCACCCTGCTGCAAAGGCGTGTGCACACACACACACACACACAACCAAAAGTATATAATGAAAAAGTACTGTACACATCCAGCACTCTGCCTTTAAATAAAGATAGGACACTTTTCAGAAGTAGAACCTGCAGTGCTACGAAATGGCTTATACATACCACAGTTCTTCTGAAGCTTTGTTACTTACATGCTGTCAAGTTGAGACCGACTTACAACAATCCTAATGGGACCTTCAAGGTTATTTAAGGAGTGGTTTTACAACCTACACCCACACCAACCAGTAGGTTTCCATGCCCATGTGAGGATTCAAACTCTGGTCTCCGAGGTCCTACTCCATCACTCTGTCCACTAAAACACAGTGAGTACCAATTCTCACTGTGTTTTAGTTGATCTGGGTGGGTTTTGGAGAGTAGGTTTGGGCTAGGGGGTTTATGTTTCTGTGATGTTTTGTTTTTGGGGTGTTTTTTTTTTTATTTTTTTGCAGTCCCAGCATGGCATGTGAGGATTCAAACTCTGGTCTCCGAGGTCCTACTCCATCACTCTGTCCACTAAAACACAGTGAGTACCAATTCTCACTGTGTTTTAGTTGATCTGGGTGGGTTTTGGAGAGTAGGTTTGGGCTAGGGGGTTTATGTTTCTGTGATGTTTTGTTTTTGGGGTGTTTTTTTTTTTATTTTTTTGCAGTCCCAGCATGGGACTTGCAGCCACGATCAGACCCCCAGGAGGTATCAAAGGGCTTTCCCTCGACATTGGAGGGAGCCCTTGCAGACCTCCAAAGACAAAAAGACAGGGTGAAAGGGCTGGAAATGTGAATTTCCCACCCTTTCCCCCTGCCTTTTTGCCTTCGGAGGTCTTGGGCCTCCATGCCGGAGTAGCCCTCTCATTGGCGGCGGCACCAGGCCTGCAGGGCACTGCGCGAACCCAACATTGGGGAGAGGAAATGAGGAGCTTCCAGGCTCAGGGGGCCCCTGCCCAGGAGAGGACTATGAAGGGGCACAGAGGCGAGCCAAGCGTGGCAACTGGGCTGGATGCGCCTTCGACATGGGCGGCTCCTGGACAGGTCGAGGCGGATCTGTGCCCCCAGCGAGCCCGGTGCGGTTACTTGCCCCGCGGTTGAGCACGGAGGCTGGGCGCCGAGGGTCGCTGGGCTCAGGCTCTCAGGTTCATATTTAATACCTGTGCAGTAGAGGATAGTGGGAGGAACACCCAGCCTCTGATGGGTGTCCCGCGGGGCACCCCAAAACACTGAGCTCTCTTGGCCTTTGGCAGGACTGGGACTGTGCAGCCCTGTTCTGAGCGGGAGGTGCAGCCAGGTGGCCACCATGCCTTGGGGGGCAGGGCACAGAAGGGGGTAGGAGGTGCAAGGGCCACTCCAACTCATACCTTGCAGGGGAAATACCATGGTCATGAAAGTGGTTTTTCCCAGGGTGAGGCTCATCCACTGCACTTCAGGTGTGCTGATCCCTGTGATTTCCCCAAATGTAGGGAACTCAACTGCATAATTTGTGGTAATGGGAGATTGCATTTGGGCTTTCCCTGGTCTTTCTAGACTCCTTTTCATCTCTCCCCCCCCCCATCAATACCTATTGCAAAGGCAGCAAGTCCCGGTGATGTTTTGTATTGCATTCTCCCTCTTTTTCTCTCCAGTGGCAAAGGATCTGGGCAAAAGGAGTCACCATGATCAGGAGCCATGGGGCTGCTTTGACTCCTTTCACCTTCTTTCTTTGCTGCTGGAGAAAGAGGCCGTCTAAGACCCACTACATTTCCAAAGGTGAGGGGACTGCTTTTCCTCAATATGGTAGATTTCAATGCATTCCTATGGAGAACTGTGTTTTGCAAGACAATGTTTTCTATGGACGATTTTCGCAAGAGAGTGATTTTTTTCCCCCACTGGAATGCATTAAATAGATTTCAATGCATTCCTATGGGGAACCGCATTTTGCAAGACAATGTTTTCGCAAGACAGCGATTTCCGCGGAACAAATTAAAATTGTCTTGCGAGGCACCACTTTACTTTTGGGTTCATATGATGCAAAGCTATTGCTATGTCCCAAATCTTTGAGCAAGTATGCAAAGGAAAGAGTAGACCTGAATGCATGTTGATAGCATGTATCCTCCCTTATTATGGCTGAATTTTTGGCTTAGACTTATGTGCAGGTCAGTGTGTTCTCTCATCAAATTCCCAATTTGCTCTCTTTGGGGAAGCTGAAATTATAGGGCTTCAGAGGCTCTCTATCAGAAAACAATGAAAAAAATCTAAACTTTCCCCATTTGGAAGGAAATTTCATTTGTATTTCTGAAATTTACTTCTCTAACAAGCACTGCCAATAGAACATGCATGCACAAAAAGGGGATGAGACAATATTTCCAGGCACCTGTACATACCAATTACATTTGTAATATATGACTGTCTTCATTAGTTTTACTATTCCCTCAGCCATTTAAATCAAATTTCATACAGCAACCTATTTGAGTACCATGTTTCTTTTTAGTATTTGTTACAAATGAAACAGCAGGTTCTCTTATAATTTCAATTTAAGAATACTCAACTTTTTTAAAAAAAGTATTATTTTATGAATATGATGACACAGTAGCACCTTAATAATATCAAAGTGAACAATCACAGCCAGTTTTGTGTTAATATACAGATTGTATACTGTAAATAACTGAATAACTGTAAACAGATGTATCAATTAAGGCAAGAAATGGAAACCAATCTTGAGACAGGCTAAATTCTCTTCCTAGTCATGGGCCAAACCACTTAATGGGTGCCCTATAAAGTGGGGTCTGGTTAATTAACAGCAATTTACCACAGCAAGTTATGACATTTCCCTTCTTCCAGCATTATGAAGCAACAAGATTTTGGCCTTAATTTACATGGTAAAATATTTAACAGCCTCATTCTTGATTCTGTAGCTAACAGAAATTCTGATTTTTTGATGGATAGCTAAGATACTGTGAAAACTACAGTTAGGAAAATTATCTCATTTAGTTCTTCTCTACAAACATAAGGAATTCTAGGAATTCTGTAGATAGCAACAGCATCTTTCTCTTGTTCTTCTCTCCTTTGTAAAAACAGAAACAGAACATATTATACATTATTTCTGCATAGTTTTAATCTGTATATCTTTCAGCATTTAGATTCCATTACCCTGGTAGATGTGTTACAAGGATTACTGAGTACTGTAGGACTTACCTTTGTATTTCATATTTGATACAGCAGTACATAAAAACCTATTTACCTCACAGAATACAAATATGCATTTAAATTAAACTTGAAGTGATTCTCTTTAAAAAAAAAACCCTCAATTTGAAGTTCCTCTGCAGGGAGGTCTGCTCCAATGTAAAGACACTAACTTTACCATAAAGCTCTTTACATACATAATGAACACTCCATACGCACACAGAGATGGAGAAACTGTATGAAGAATGTCATCTTATCAAGCTTTCTGCTATGTTTAATCGATTTGTCTGGTCGTAAGTAGGCACACTAACTTTAAATGGCAGTTACCCTCCTGCTAAGTGCCCAGAAACAGGCTGTAAACATTAATCTATTTTTATGGACACATCCATGAGGAAAGTGAGGATGTCTCATGTAGTACTGATCCTCATACTCACTAAGATGGGATCCATGTAATATAAATGAGACATCTGCTCAAATAGGGCTTTCCTCTTGCCTTCATGTCAAAAAATGTCACTGGTGAAGCGGTCCTTGCATCAAACATTCTTAGCATTGTCCCACAAGTGCCAAATTCTCTGTGCTCCAGATTCTCACAAACGTCTGGGCATATTCTGGGAACACTGTAACACCTTTTCAGTTGCAGTTATGTTTGGAAGCCAAGGACCAGCTTACAACAGTACGAGAAGCTCTTTCGCTTGCTCTGCTTTTACTAAGCCATTACTATGTAATTTTAAATTAAGTCTTCCACATTTCCAAGACCTAGGGTGGGCTGGGCTAAACAGCTAACTAAATAATTAAGACACAAACTACTGATACAACTGAATGTATACAATTGTACTGAATCAAGAAAGCCTATAGTAGTTAGGTTCACCTTCTTAAATTTGGGGTACTATGGGTTTCTTTTTGTTTTTGTATTGTTTTTTTATTTTAGGATTTCATTATTTGGTTTTTGTATTTCAATTAATCTTTATAAGCCACTCAGAGAACTTCATTTTATGGGATGGTGTACAAATGTAAAGTTGCAGGCCAGAATCCTATTGGTGTTCATATAATGTTTTTGTAACTTGTTGTGTTTAATTGTAGCTTAGTGACAAGATGCCAGAGAATGTCTTGATCTTGTCTCTGGTTATGCACCCAACTATACAACCAAGATGTGCCCCAGGATCTCATCAAATCAACCACAAGAAGTTACACAAACCTTATGTGAGTATCAGAGGATCCCAACCATAAAATATTTTGAAACAAGAAACAGATCCCTCATAGTGACATTGGCCAAAATTAGATATGGACAAGAGAGAATATTTTCTTGTCCAAAGGATGTCTACGCATACAGTTAGCAAACATTCAGTAACAAAAAACATTGGGCAGAATCCTATTGGTAGTGCTAAGTGCACAACAAGAAACAGAACCAACGATTTATCCCACTGCACCTACACTGGCCTAAGCAACCAATACAATTCTATCCACTGTTACAAAGGAAAAAAATAAACTCTTAGAACTTTCTCAATTCTGTTACCTTCCTCCAACTTCCAGCACTAATATTTTTGTCAAAGCTATAGACATTTATATCATAATAATTGGAACCTTTTCATACCCCCAAGACTTCTCCAGCACTGGTGGCTTTCTTACTATAATATATTTTGGTGTAATGCAATATCGCACCTACTTTCATATTATTTAAACCTATATATCTTGCTATATAAGCGTAATGTGAGCTTGTCAGACTATGAAAACATCTGAAAAGGCTGCCTTTAAGTGCCAATTCTCCTCGAACTATTACTCAAATATATCTTGGAAACTATAAGAAACAAGAAGCAAAGTGGGGCCTGCACTCACAATAAAATATGCCCATATATGATACGCTGCAATTCCATAAGGATTTTGGTCAGAAATTCTCAAAGAAATTACTTTCAAAAACATTTTCCCCATCTCCCTATTGAAACATAGCTCCCAGCATACCCAGCTTCTTGCCATCTGGCTGGGACCAGTGGGAACTGCCGTCCATAATCTGGAGGGCCACAAATCCCCCACATAGGTAAACAGCTGGAGTTGTTGACAAGAGAACTGAGAGGATAAGGCACTCTCTGGGGTCAAGACTATTTCCAAGACTAATAAATTAACAATTCAGACTCTGATTCAAGAATCAAAACGTCTTTCAAAACTGTTTTCCTACTTGTATACACATACACAAACTCACACGCAGTTATGATATGAAATTAAGGCAAGTCTTTTTATTTTGCATAAACTGCAATGTTCTAAGTATCTTTCCTACAAAGCTGTACTTTTAGAAGAGGTAGCTGTGTTGCAACTGACCAGACAAAAAGAAAAAGAAAAGAAAAAGAAAAAATCCAGAAGACAAAAATACTGTGGCACCTTAAAGACTAATTACCAGGGATGCGGACAAATATTTGGGTCCAATTCCCAAGTCCCAGTTGCTATTGAAAACAAGCTTTTTCCCTCAGAGGAAAGGGATGGGTGGGTGGGTTCCAAGTCTTGAGTCTGAATCATTGGGGGGGGGAAGGAAAAAACAAGTCGAGTGTGAGTCGAGTCACTGGTGTGACTTAAGTCAGACTTGACAGTGAATCCCACGACTCAAGTCCCCATCTCTGCTAACTGCTATATTTTAATCAGGACAAAGCAAAAGAAAAAAAAATTAAAAACAGACAAAAACATTGTCACAGGATTCTGAGGAAGTGGACTTGTCCATGAAAGTTCACATTAAAATATAGCAGTTAGCCTTTAAGGTGCCATAATGTTTTTGTCTCTATTATCCTTCATTTTTATTTTATTTTGGACTGATATGCCAGCACAGCGTAACATGGCTAGTTCTTCAAAAACTGCTGCTATATTTTAATGTGAGCTTTTGTGGACAAGTCCACTTCCTCAGACCAGGTCACATTAAAATACAGTGGTGCCTCGCAAGACAAGCGCTTCAATTTACGACAAAATCGCATAACGACAAAGTTTTTGTAATTTCAAAAGCGATCGCAAAATGATGTTTCCTATGGGGTTTTTTCGCTTTGTGATTATTGGTTCCCTGCTTTGCTAACCAATTATTGCAAAACGACGATTTTTGCACAGCTGATTGGCGGTTTCAAAATGGCTGCCGGGTAAAAAAAAATGGCTGCCCGCTGTTTTTTGAGACGGATTCCTTGCTGCACGGGCAGCGAAAATGGCCGCGCTATGGAAGATCTTCGCTGGACGGTGAGTTTCAAGCCCACAGGAACACATTAATCAGTTTTTAATGCGTTTCTACGGGCTTTTTAAAATCGCTTTACGATGTTTTCGTTCTACAGTGATTTCGCTGGAACGAATTAACATCGTAATGCGAGGCACCACTGTACAGCAGTTAGCCTTTAAGGTGCCACAACATTCTTGTCTTTATTTTTTATTTTTCTCTTCGTTTTGGCCCGGTTTCCTAAAAAGCAATTTCTGCTTCATTCAGTGAAACATACTCTCTTGAAAGTATATGAGTACAGCTTTTAAACAATCGTATACAATCCAAAATGCTATAAATTTCAAATAACATATTTTAGGCTTGCTTCCAGATAGATTTGTTTTCCTTACCTGCATAATCAATAATTAATCATTTTCCGAAGTGCATCATAACATTTCCACTTGTCTGGGATATAGAATGGCTCAAATATGTGAGGAAATGGGGTGTCATAACCACATACTCTTGAAATAGGAGCTTCTAGATTCAAGAAACATTCCTCCTGTTAATAAAAAGAAAAGAAAGAAAATGAGTAATATCAACAGTTCCAAAGCCACATTTTAATACTTGCTGAGCTATGCAGAGCTGACTGTCCTGGAATTTCAAATGCACAATTAAGTGAAGATATTCAGTGCCTCAAAATTCAGTGGTGGCCATTACCTTAAACAGCCTTTTTAGAGCCACTCCATAAAAAATGAATCTGTCAGCGACTATTAGTCCACATATCTAAAAATGGAACCTGTGTATTCAAAAGCAATTTTCCCCCTGATTCTCTGATACAAAGAGAAAGAAGGCAGTTACTGCCATATTGCTGTGCTTATTGTGAGCTTCCTAAGAACATCTGGATAACTTCTGTTGGAGAAAGAATGCGGGAATAGACTGAGTTTGGATCTGACCCCGCAAGAGAATTCTCACCTTCTTATTCCTGCATGTTTTCCTTAGCATAACAAACTGCCCCTTCATAGGAATAAATATTTATATTTCTTATGCAAAAGAACAAAGCAAATAAAACAGAAGTAAACATGTCAGCACATATAAGCAAGAGCCATATACTAAGGTATTGCAACAGAATGAACAAAGATTGATTTTGATATTTGTTAAAATGAGCAATCCAAATTAGTAAAGGTAAGTATCTACTAAAAGTTTATCTGGATATTATACTAATCTCTTTTTTTCTTTTTTATACAGGTTAAGCAAAACATTAAACAAACTCTCTGATGGTTTATTCATAACATAGTGATTAGAATACCATATACAAGTATTATTATTAATGACTTAGCACAGAAACAGCAGAGTTTGCTTCCAAATAATCATAATTTAGTCCATTCAAATTTACCTTCACAATATAATTAAAGATGCATCTTAAATTAATGATTTACATGCCTACCATATACCCTCATTACAATTTTTAGCAAGGTACTTGCATTGGCCGCTTTGGAAATATCCAGAGATCTTATATCAATTAAAATAAGGAAAGGCCCAGGGGTCCAAATATTCGAGTCTCATCATCTATAACACAGAGGTATCTACTTCACAGAAACATAGAGAAGTTGGAAGGGACCTACAAGGCCATCAACTTCCAAATAATCATAATTATAAGTGATGACTTATTGAGGGAGGCCGACAGGGGCAAAGTGTCTCTGTTGGTCCTCCTCGATATCTCAGCGGCCTTTGATACCATTGACCATGGTATCCTCCTGGGGAGGCTCGCCGAGTTGGGGATAGGTGGCCGGGCTTTTGCTTGGCTCCGTTCCTTCTTGGAGGACCGTCCCCAGAAAGTACAGCTTGGGGAGAATGTTTCGGCCCCGTGGTGCCTTAATTGTGGGGTCCCACAGGGGTCGATCATCTCCCCAATGCTGTTTAATATCTACATGAGGCCGCTGGGAGGGGTCATCAGGAGGTGTGGAGCGCAGTGCCATCAATATGCGGATGACACACAGCTCTACATCTCCTTTTTTCCAACTGCAGGAGATGCCGTTCTGTCCCTTCGGCGTTGCCTGGAGGCTGTACAGGAATGGATGCAGGAGAACGGGCTGAGGCTGAACCTGGACAAGACGGAGGTACTGAGGGTGGGCTCCCCCACACCTGGGGACAAGGGAAACTCCCTCATTTTTGGGGGGGTGACCCTGCCCGCCAAGGATTGGGTCCGTAGCTTAGGTGTCCATCTTGACCCGGCGCTCACCATGGAGACCCAGGTGGCGGCCGTGGTCCGTTCCGCTTTTTTCCATCTCAGGCGGATAGCCCAGCTGCAGCCCTACCTTGATGTGGGGTCTCTCACCACTCTGGTGCATGCGCTTGTAGTCTCGAGATTAGACCACTGTAATGCGCTCTACGTGGGGCTACCTTTGAGATTGCTGCGGAAACTACAGGTGGTCCAGAATGCGGCAGCCAGACTACTCAGTGGGCTGAGAAAAGACCAACATATCTCCCCCACTCTGGCCGCATTCTCCTCTGTATGACAGCCTTTCAGATATTAGAAAAGGGCTGTCATATCACCCGTCAGTCTTCTTTTCTCACGGGCAAACATGTCCAGTTCTTTCAGCCTTTCCTCATAAGGCTTGATTTCCAGCTCCCTGATCATCTTTGTCGCCCTCCTCTAAATGTGTTCCAATTTGTTAGCATTCTTCTTGAAGTGTGGTGTCCAGAACTGGACACAATACTCAAGGTGAGGCCTAACCAGTGCTGAATAGAGGGGGACTAGCACCTCGCAGGATTTGGAAACTATACTTATTTTATTAATTTTATTTATTTTTGGACTTATATACCGCCCCATAGTGCTACAAGCACTCTCCGGGCAGTTTACAATTTCATTATGCAGGCTACACATTGCCCCCCCCCAGCAAGCTGGGTACTCATTTTACCGACCTCGGAAGGATGGAAGGCTGAGTCAACCTTGAGCTGGCTACCTGGGATTTGAACCCCAGGTCGTGAGCAGTTTTAGCTGCAGTACAGCATTTTAACCACTGCGCCACAAGGCTCTTCTATTAATGCAGCCTACTTCTATTAATGCAGCCTAAAATAGCATTTGCCCTTTTTTGTAGCCACATCACACTGTTGGCTCATATTTAGCTTGTGATCTACTTCCTGATATCCATTTACATTTCTTTCATTATTATACAGCCACATTATAAACATAAAAAGCATTAAAATGTACTTACACCTCTTCGATTATCATAGACAGACATGAAAAAAAAACCACCTTTCCCTAGTATGTGTTCTAGAGAAACTGCAGTCTTAGGATGTAATAAAATAAATCTCCATTTATTTTCTTACACCCTGAGACTGCAGTTTATCCTTCAGAATCAGATTTATTGGATGTACAAGTTCTTTTTGTTCCTGGTAGGTATTATAGCCAGAATCCCGTTGATTTTCACATAAGTCTGGTGTACTGTTGGACATATAACCATAACATTCCCTGATATTTCCTCAATAAGCCAAAATTATTGATTTAATTATTCTTAATTATTCACTAATTATTATTACAGTAGCATTTGACAAGTTATTGTCTCTATTATTTATTTATTTATTTATTTATTTATTTATTTATTTTATTTTATTTCTATCCCGCCTATCTGATCATATTAGACCACTCTAGGTGGCTTACAATAAAAACAACAATGTAATTTTAAGACATTACAGCTAAAACATAGATGAAGATAGAGAACAAAATAAAAGAAAAAGAATGTCAAGGGTTTTCTGTTGGGAAGGCCTGCCTATACATCAGTGTTTTTAGTTGTTTCTTAAAAATGCCCAGCGAGGGAGCCACACGAATCTCAGGGGGTAAGTTGTTCCAAAGGTGAGGAGCCACCGCCGAGAAGGCCCGATTTCTGGTCTTTTCCTTTCGGGCCTCTCTCGGCGTTAGGCTCCTGAGCCTCACCTCCTGGCTGGCCCGCGTATCACCCGGGCCAACTCCGGATAGGTCACATACTATACGGAATAATTCTGCCTGCTGGTTAGATGCCTCACTTATCCGGTTAGTGAGGTAAGTTCTACTGGCAGCCTTTACCTTAGTCTGGTAAAGGTTAGTCTACTGTAAATGTAGTTGTATATACAATTGTTTCTTTATATGAAATTAAATAAGCACATATAAAACATTTCAGTAAGCACAGGCAATGTTTTCAATTAAGCTTTCTTAGTTACAGAAATGCAATTTATTCAAAACACCTACAGACACACACACATAATGTGCACCATCTCCTTCCCCCCACACACAGTTATCTAAATATTTCCTAGATTCACAGTAACTGCTCACACTTAAACAGCTTCCACACAACTAGGAGAATGTCTCAAGTGTGATTAGATATTTCTACTAAAAATGTAAACAATCTAAACACAAATAGTTACTGGCCAAAGGAACACATGTGGCTTTCAGAGATACTCAGGTATAACCATTTCTCCACTATAAAGCAAAAAGCAAAGTGTGATGTTTATATACTGACCCATAGCACTTAAAGCTTTCTATGGGTGGTTAACTGTGCAGACTACACATTCCCCCCCCCAGTGAGCTGGGTACTCATTTTACCGACCTCAGAAGGATAGAAGGCTGAGTCAACCTTGAGCCGGCTACCTGGGATTGAACCCCGAGTCATGAACACAGTTTTGGCTGCAGTACAACAGTTTAACCACTATGCCATGAGTTTCCTCTTCCTTCTGCTGTCACTTCCTTCCTTCTTTTGCTTCAGTTACAGTGAAAGAGCCTATACAGGCAGAGCAACCTCACCTCTATGAATTACTGAATTATTAAGCCCAAGCATCCCCTATCAGGTTGGGTACCACAAAGGGAGAATAACCTCTCTATACCTTGAAAAATAAAAAAAGGTAGCTGTATATCATTTTCTTTTTATTTATGGGTGGTCTTGTTATGTGCACATCCTAGTTACCATTATCTGAATACTAAGAAGAATTTCCAGATAGTCATCTGGGAAGGTATTTGATTATTGTTTGAATGCCAGCAAACAGAGACCATCGTTTTGGACAAGGTAAGGAAGGGAAAAAGCTTGGAATAAATGTTTTTGTCAAGTAAAGTCTTAAATTGGAGACTTTTTTCAGGGAGCGACCTGGGGACCGCATACAAAGAAGGTAGAAACAATATAAATAAATAGAAAATAGATGAAGAAAGGTAATCATCTAGAAATACTGTGAAGAGAGGAATACTTGATCTGCCATTCTTTATCTTCTATTCAGTGCAACCTCTTTCAACGGTCAACCCACCTAGCCATTTGAGATCAGGGTCTAGCAAATTATGTCTCTCTACACGCAACAACCAGCCACCACTACGATAAGCCCTAGACTACATAAACCATGTTTAGCAACTGTGAAAGTCACTGCCAAGCAATATCTAGAGAACCACAAGTTCTGAAGTACAGTGGGGTCTTGACTTGAGAACTTAATCCGTATTGGAAGGCGGTTCTCAAGTCAAAAAGTCTGTAAGTCAAGTCTCCATTGACCTACAATGCATTGAAAACCGATTAGTCCCGTAACAGGTCATTTTTGTTCCATTTT